GTTTTTTGAAAACGGATATTTACAGTAAACATTTTCTGTATTTTTACAGTTGAACTGCTGTTTAAAGAAAAAAATCTCATTAAAAAATTCTCTGTTGAATGTTAATCTGTATAAAAACCTAAAAATATTGCAGAAATACCTTAAAATTATATAAAAAGAAGACTGCTGTTTTAATACAGTATTATTTGATATATTTTTAAGATAATCCAATCCATCTACAAGAACTCCTTGTCAAAGTAAAGACTTTTCTATGTAAAGCAAACAGAAAATGTTGTAAATACCTTCAGATACCCTAATTTAAAGCCCAATACCAGAATATTAATAGATTTAAACTTTTATTTTATGCCATTATCCAATCGATTTACAGTAAATTCCTGTTAAATATTGGTTTTAAAAAACCAAGATCATGTGATATTAAGTTACAGAAACATAATTTTAACAGTTATTGCTTTATAACGATAAATGCCCAAGAAGTTCTGCTAAGTGAGGGAGGATCTGATGTGGGAGAGATAGCGGCAGCACCGGTGTGTCTGTCTGTGAGTGAGAGAGAGAAAAAGAGAGAGTTTATTTATTCTCATAGCTAGGCTAACTAAAGGCTCCTGCAGACTACACGGCTTTCAGCGTCGGGCGATGGCCGTGCTGTTCAGACTGCACAACTTGCCGTCTTGAAGTCGTCGTGGCGTTCACACTACCTGACTGATCGGTGACAGGGGGTCACACACTACACGAGCTGACAGCGGCTGTGTCACCCGACGCTGGTCTCCAAACCAGGTTTTGTCAAGAAAACACACATGAAATGTGAAACGTGACACAAACATACAAAACAGCTGTTGTTTGTTATTTTAAAGATAGAAATTATAAAGAGAAATAATCTGGGTGAAAGGATGGATCAGCACACGCAGGTAGCAGGAAACGTCTGAGTTACAGAGAGCTGGAGGGGAGTAAAAAGTGTTTGGCGGTGTAAAAGTAGCTGCCTGCTCTCATTGGCTGGATGTGGATGTCGAGTCGGCCGACTCCTCCAGATTTTTGGCATGCTAGATATCTGGCTGGCGTTGGCGATGTGTCAGAAATGTGTCGGGGAGCCGTTTTTATGTGTCGAGTAGTTCACAATAACGACTGGCGACCGCGGATCGATCGCTGATTTACCCCTGATCACAGCCTGACGGTCGCCGAGCTCGCTGACCGGCAAATCAGGCTTAAAATGGTATAGTGTGAACTGGGCTTCAGTGATTATAACAAAAACTTTGTTTTAACTTTGTTATGGCAAGACTAGCAGACCCAAGTGCAGGTCTAAGAAAGGGAGAAGTTCGATAAAAGAGAAATAGGCTATTTATTACAAGGTTAAAAGGATCATATATTGCAGGTGAAGAGCGAGGCAGAGTGAAAATAGATGCTGAACCGGGTTGGTGGCTGCTGTACAGAGCAGGGGGAACCGTAGCTGAGAGTCCAGAGTGAGAGAATCTGATCCGAGCAGGTTCAAAGCAGAATCCGGGAAACATTTTAAAATGTAAGAAATGTGACTGTTTTCATATGTAATGAAATTTAGCAATTGTAAAATAAAAAACGCCATAACTTCCACACTACTGCTGTCATCACTCAGTTTAAAGGGCTCCGTCACAGCTGGGCGCTTCCTTTTGTTTTCCCTTTGATGTGGACTGGAGCGTTACGTTCACTGCTGTCAGCTGAGGTCAGGCACGCGAAAAAACGAGCCAACCCGCGGGAGGAGCGTGTGAGGCCGGCCAGCCGCCCGCTCACAGAGCCCTCTGCTCCCGCCGTCACACAGACCGCTGCAGCAACAACGCAGAGGAAAACACAGCTGGAAGGTTTTCATACCGCTTATCTGTCTTTACATTCTGACGAAGGTTGAAACGTTTTAACTTAAAGAGACGGCTGTTTGTGGGTCGCTGGTGTGTGTGTCGCATTGAACATTATGACGACCAGCTACATGGAGGGGTAATATTTCTGGGTACTATCTGCAATGGAAGACGAAGCACAGCCAAACCGAGTTGAGCTGGTACTGGTGATTGAAAAACGCCATAAAAGTCACCCAGTAAATCATTAAACATTGCTGTATGTATATTTTTAATCCAGTAGATTTGGTTACATTTTCGGAAGACCCGTAATAAATTAATGAAAGGACCAAAATTCATGACGTTTTTTTGTGACAATGATTCATCACAGAAAAATTTGAGTTGTAGTTATTATTGGAAACTCAAACAGCCATGACGTGTATGTTCTTTAGAAGTGTGTGTAAACTTTTGACCACAACTGTAACCTTGTTACTTTCTTAGGATTTGCAGAAAATCAGTTTGTTTTTTGTCTCTTTTGGGAAATCTAATATATACACTCACAATGCATTTTATCAGGAACATCTGCTGTCTAATGCAATCAAAAATGACACCTGCCATACATTCTGTTATTACTGATTTCATAGTGGGTGGTGTACTGGAGTGCATTATATTGAAAAGTTTTCCTAATATTGTCTACCCCATTGACATACATGAGGGGGGCAGAATAATAGAAACACTTGTTCAATATCTAAGTGCTATTTTTGTTAAATCATTACATAAAGGACACCTGAAATGCAAACATTACTCTTTAGAATTCTGCTAAATCTGTTTCATAATTTGTTTTTCTACTTTCTTTCTGTCCTATGTAAAGGATCTGACGCTACAGCTGTTCTGAGCGAGCTCGGACAAGTTATCTTTACAGCATCCGTGTTGAGGGAGGTGATGCCACCGCTCCTCCAGCTGATGTTGGGATAGTCACCGAGGCTGCTGAAGTTCTGCATGACTTGGGAGACGTCGCCTCTACACGTGCACTCTTAATAGGTGTAATTATGCACTGAACCTCAGTTATCCTCAGAACCTTAAAGCCTTCTTTGAGGTACTTCACAAGTGATTCTTTCAACTAGATGCTAGCAAACTCTCAACCAAGGTACAGATGCTCAAGAACAAACTCTATGAATGAGCCATTGATTTGGACGCTGTGTTCTGTGGAATAAGCAGAATTCTAAGCAAAGCATCATCAAAATTGTTGACAACTAAACATTATTTTGCAAACTTTTCTACACTTTATAGTGCCAATAATTTTACTGCATTATTTTTTTCATGTGTGTTGGTGAATAAAGTCCATAACAAAATGAAGTTGAAATTGATTTGTGTGGGACCAGTTGACAAACATTTGAATTGTGTCTAATTTGGAAAAAAAATATTGAATGAAAACCTAATGTTTTAATTAATTGAACATAAATGTATATTTTTACTACTCCAAATAAAATATTGAAAGGTAAACTTAAATATATTGTTGATCAGAAGTGTTTTATTTTTAATTGGATCAGTTGACATTCATTGTGTTACTCTTATACAAGTTCATTAAATTATTTTTGCTTTTAAGTAACCTAAAATAATTTTGTGGAATCTGTTGAAAAAATAAATATAATTAAAATCAAAGCTTCAGTTTTTTGAGTGAACCAAGATGGGACAACAAATACACCTTTTATGACCATTTGATTTTGATATATAGCCCAAACACCAGTAAGCTGTGCATCCAGACCTAAAGAGAACAGGTCTTTTTAGCCTCAAATGGCCTATGAAAGTAAACTCCAAACATTAATGGGAAAAGAACGGAGATATATTGGATAGTTGCTGTTGCTTGTTTGCAAACAAGAAGAACTATAAGTGTGGTGCAGATGGTTTTATCACGCTACATCACGCAGCTCTAAAATGTCGATCATCTTTACGTTTTCTTAACATAGACCATGTTGATATAGTTTAAGTACGTGTACAGCTGTACAAGATATTTAATATATTCAGTAGATATATATTTTTATGACCCTATTCACAGCCATACTATTCAAACCAAAAGAACTACTAATATGATGCTAATTTGTATCAAGCTGCGTGGCGCTGCTAGAAGGAATTGTAGTTTCAAAAAATATTATTGTATTTCATAATTGGAAGTTGCAAATACTGAGTGCACACGGGTGGGTTTAAAAGGGTGGGAATCACATTTGTGTAATACGATTTTAAATATCTAATTGTTAAATGGATGAAAATCAAGTTTGACCATATTGACAGCACCCCCACTTTGTGAGTCTGTCCATATGGGTATAGTCACATAGCTGAAGTCAAGATTACAGGTCAGCTCTCACAAATGGTTAGTTCTCCCTAACAGCCACAATTAATTTGTACATTATGATTTATTATTTTTATTTGAGTGAATTGGGATGATAATGGGGAAAACAGCAAGCAAGATAGATAAATAAATTAAATTAACACAAAATGTATGGTCACATTTTTGGTTTAATTTAACATTATCTATTTTGTAGCACTGTGCATGTAAATGTCATGTTGAGTCGACCAAAGTCCTCCAAGACTTTTAATGAGTCTGTTTCTGTCGCAGCATGAGACTGCCTCTCTAGCCACGTTTGACTACCCGGTGAACGACAATGGCCTGAAGCCTGTGATGGAGCAACATGGCCCGGTGCTGCCCGAGGACCTGGACTTTATAAAGGAACAGATTGCTGGACCGACCGCTGGACACTAATGCAGCTCAAGGCCAGAAGGTACCGTCCAGTTCTGCCTGTGTGAAATCATCATTGCTCCAACAACCAGTGTGTGTGATTTGTATAGAAAAGTAACTTATAACACGATCCATAAAATATTTATCCCAACTTTCCCACAGTCTCTTAACTAATCCACTGCTGTAGAAAGTCTGGTAATGGTTCCAACTTGGAACCGGTTCTTGATACCCAACCCTATTTCAGATATGATGGTGCCTGACCTTTTAAGGGCTTTTTAGGTGACCAGAAGGATTTTAAATTATATTCTGGATTTTACAGGGAGCCAGTGCAGAGAAGCTGGTGTGAGAAATATGTGATCTCTTTTAGCAAAAAAATATCACATTAGAACACCTTAAAACTACTATTTATCAATAAATAACCAGAAATAACAGAATTAATTAATTGATATATTTTTTTTTTTTATTTTGAGGTCAATTAAGAATCCACATATTATATATGTTTTCTGGTGTGGGAGGAAACTGGAGCACGTGGAGTAACCCCATGGTGGAGAGGGGAGAACATCAAACATCACAGGGCACATAGAAACAAACATCCATTCATACACATTCACACTGAAGCACAATTTAGAGTCACCAATTAACCTGCATGTCTTTGGACGGTGGGGGGAAGCCGGAGCACCCGGAGAGAACCGGGACAGACACGGGGAGAACATGTAAACTCCACACAGAGACGCAGACGACCAAGGTTCAAACCCTGGACCTTCTTGCTCTGAGGCGACAGTGCTAACCACTGCGCCACTGTGCTGCCCCTCTTTTAGTTGGTGGTTTGGTATTTTTAGGTCAACCTGAGGAGAAAATCCAACTCCACACAAAAAGAGTCAGGCCCAGGAATTGAACCTGCACCTTTTTGTGTGAGGCTGAAGTTTCATCCATATGCTCGACTGGAGCCAATCCCAGCTGACATTAGGTGAGAGGCCGGGTACAACCTGGATAGGTCGCCAGTCCAACACAGGGCACATAGAAACAAACAACCACTCACACACATTCACACAGGGGAGAAAATCCAACTCCACACAAAAAGAGTCAGACAGGAATTAAACCAGCACCTTTTTGTGTGAGGCTGAAGTTAAATCCATACCCTTTTTTCCCTTGGAAAGCAAAAACAATGTATGTCAGCTTTCCATATAGCTCTTCAGGAGCTGTTCAGGTCTTGAATTTCTTGCTGCAGTGCTGCGTGCTCTCGGTCGACCTTCTGTTTCTCAGCCTTCATTGCATTGCGTGCACTTTCTAAAGCTCTTTCACTGTTCAGCTTTTCTTTGAGCTTCTGGACCTCTCGTCGAAGTACATCATTTCTTCGACTCGTGGCATCTTTTTCCGTTGTCAGCGATTTGTGCAGGACCTCCAGTATTTTTTCACTTTGCAGTCTGCCGTAGAGCTCTTCAACCTCCAGCTGTAATGTGTGGTTTTGTTGGATCAAGGCTTCGTTTTCTTCTTTCATGACATCATTCCTGTCTACCAAAGCTTGTTCCTTTACAAGCCTTTTCTCCACCTCCTGAATTTCTTTTTTCAGGATTTTATTTCTGTGCGTTAGATTCTTTTTCTCTCCTTTCAGTGAGTCATAAATTGCCTTTGTAACAGTTTTGTTTTCTATCTCCTCACTGCACTGTTGGATTTCTTGATGGAGTTCATCGTTGCGTTGTCTTAAGGCTCCTATCTCCTCTCTCAGCGGACCACACTTGCCTTCATATTCTTTCATACCTCGAAACTTTGAGTGGAGCGTTGCAAGTGTTTTAAGAAGCTCATTTTGTTTTGCAGAGACAACTTTTTCTTCTGCTTTCAGGGCTTTATATTTGTCTTTCATGGCTTTTCTGTTCTGGATCCTACTGGTAAGGTCCTCAATGTCTATTTGGATGTCTTCATTTTCTCTGCACATAAATCCCATGTTGTGCAACTTCTCCCTACACATGACACCGAAAATCTTTTGATCTTCATAATCTTTGTAGAGCTTCTGGCGTTGTTCTTTCAGTGCTGCGTTCTGCTGGCTGATGGTCACTTTGGAAACTTCCATTTGCTCATTCATTTCCCGCAGAGCCTTTTCATATCGGAGATCTTTGGATATCTCCCGAATCTCTTGTCTCAGGTCGTCATTTTGCTGGCTTATCGCCTCTTTCTCTGCTTTCAGTGTGTCATACGTTTCATCCAGAGCAGTTAAATTTCTACGCTTTTCTTTGAGCTCCTGGATTTCCTCTTGTATGCTGTAATTTTGGAGCCTCATGGCCTCTGTTTCCTCCTTAATGACATTACACAATTCCTCCAAAGATGGTTCATTTTGGGGTCTTCTCCTGAGCTCCTGAATTTCTTGTCTCAACGCCTCGTTTTGCTGGCTTGCTGCTAAGAGCTCTGCTTTGACTTTATCATAGTTCTCATCAAAGGATTTATCATGTGTCATATTGTGTAGCTCCTGGCGTTCTTTTTCCAAAGCTTCATTGGCGTTCAAAATGGCTTCTTTCGCCACTTGCATAGCGTTGGACATTGCATCCAATTCTTTTTGAGTTTGGCTATTTTCATGGAGCTCTGCTAGTTGTTTTTTCTCATATTGTCTAGCGTACCTTTGCAGTTGGAGATCTATTCCTTCCAGTTGTTGAATGACTGCATCCACGTCCACTTTGTTTTCTTGGTCAGATATATCTGCTTGTTCTTGGCTGACGTCCATGCCCAGATTGTCAAAGAACTTCTCAGAAGGGACCGTTTCCTCGATGCAGCTCATTTTTCTTCTCTCTTAACGACTGTGTTAACCACCGCTTGTTTTTCTGGGCTCTGTACACGAAGCTCAGTTGTAAATGATTGATTAGACTGAGGAGCTGAAGTTTCAGAATGTGTTCACTCTGTGGCTTTGATCTTCAGAATGTGGAAGCAGGCAGTGACATCACTTTCCCCTCAGAACGGTGTTTATGACATCATCAACATTATGACATCGTCTAAATTCTGATCGATAAAGTACAGGAAGTGAGGGAACCTTTCACACAGCATGGTGTTTATGAAATGGTAAAAAGACAGAGGATCAAGTCTGAATCTACACATTTTTATACACAGAACATATCTTCCTGTTGTCTAAGTCTTCTCGCATAAGAAGCAATCAATCGATCCCAAAATCTGGCAGCAATACTGTTTTTCCACTGTTTGAACACAAACATCCTCTCGCATTAACCCTTTCTGGTCTGCCCTGTCCAAACCTGGGCCAACGTCCCAGAGAAGTTCACACATCCTAGCAACGTTTTTGATGCAGCTGATAACATTAATATCTTGCAAGTATTGATTTATAATTTACTGGGGCTATGCTGAAGTTTGTCTGCAGAGGAGATGCTGGATCATCAGCCAGCACACAGCTGAAACACAGAAGTTTTTAGAAAGTCACACAGACCCAGGTGAAATACAGGCAGCCTCAGCCAGTAAAAGCACAGCCAGAGATGTACAGGCAGCATCAGATACAAGCAGCTCAGACCCTAATGGAGGACTGAGTTAATGCTTAGCAAGGGAAGCTGGTGAGGCACATACTGACACATTTCATAAATCAAAAATTTAATGAGGGGATCTGTGCCCCAGTAGAGCTTTATGTCAAGCAACGCCCCTGAGCAAAACCACATAAACTCAATAATATCTATGGAAAAATAAATAATATTCCTGACATCAAAGGAACGAGTGAAGAAGATATGACCCTAGTAGGTTTCAGGAAAAGAATTAATGCAACTCTTTATTTAGATTTTAAATTAGACATTTAATCATTCAAATCCAAATATATTTTATGTCAGAGTCACAATGTGATATATGAAATCATGATCACAATGATGCAGACACACACACACACACACACACACACACACACACACCCTCTGTCTATAGATTTTTTGTCTCACTCATGACCAGCCTCAGGCCCGTTCAGGTTCCTGTGTGAAACTTTATACAAAGACAATATTATTTTTGTTTTCATTGAAGTTACGTAGGTTTGCGTATTTTGACTCTAATATCCTGTCTTGAACTTTCCTCACGTGGACTTAAAGGCTACGTTCACACTGCAGACCTTTTAGTTTACACGTGGCCCATATCAGACTGAAGTGTGAACTGGCCCCGGCCTGCAAGTGACCCGCATGCGCAGAAGAATAAAAGGACGTCATACGCAGCACGCTGTCGTACAGAAGGAAACGAGGAGCCATAGAGGTTAGCTCCGGTTCGCTCATACTTGCTAACCCTCGTGATTTTCACAGGAGACTCCCGTGTTTCATTGCCCTCTCCCGGTTTCCTCCCGGGCCGGGCTGTTTCAAGGCACTTTGGGGGCCCCAGGCAAAAGGGATCTGGAGGGCCCTATATCGAACTAAGCTGAACGCCCCAACCCTTCAGGAATCTCATCATAGACACAAAATTCCAATCTTCAAACTTTTACTACCAGATAAGTTTTAGAAAGTGCATACAAATACATTATAGTACATTTAAAATACAAACCCCCTATTATACTTTTTAAAATGACATATTTTTTTATTAAAAAAAGTGAAAACACATTCATAATAATTACATGCAATAAACATAAAATGTGTCTGTACTGCATTCACATAAAATTAACATTTAAATGCATCATCCACCATCCTGATGAACAGCTGGAAAAATACTGTAGGCTATGTCTGAAATTAGGAACACAAACATTCAAATATATCCAACAAGATGAAAGACCTCACTGTACAGGCAGCACATCCACCTGACATTCATCAGTGGAGACATCTTTTGGAGGTGGGCTCACTGGGCTTAGAAATTTAAGCAAAGCACCTTGAGAGGAAAGAAGAAAGGGTTGTATGGTAACCTAGCTTTTCATATTTATTTATTTAGATGATTAGAGAGAACAAATTAACAAAGTTCACAACCACAAATGCTTTCATGAAACAGCATTTACCTAAATGGCAAAACCTAGTTTATATTTTCATTTTGTACACTGAAATGAGTTGTAGCCAAAATGCATCCATTACATTGCATCCATACATCCATTTTTTAACTTCACAAAGGCAGTTGTTAAGTGAACTCAGCATTTCAGGTTCTGTGGATCTGACGTGCAAGTATATTTGTGTGTCATCAGCATAAATATGAAAAGAAATGCCATGTTTATGGATAATATGTCCAAGGGGAAGCAGATACAAGGAAAACAAAATGGGTCCTAAGACCGACCCCTGAGGCACACCATATTTAACTGGACAGAATGAGGAGACATAGTTGTTTACAGACACGCAAAACTTCCTATTTGACAGGTAGGATGAAAACCATTCTAGGGCAGTACCAGAGATCCCCACCCAGTGCCTCAGTCTGTCTAACATGATGTTGTGATCAATGGTGTCAAAAGCAGCGCTAAGGTCCAGGAGTACCAGGACTGAGTACATGCCTTCATCAGCAGACATTAAAAGGCCATTGGTGACTTTAAGCAGGGCAGTCTCAGTGCTGTGGTACTTCCTAAAACCAGACTGAAACTTTTCAAATAATTTGTTATTTTCCAGCACAGTGAGCAGCTGTTTGGACACAATTCTTTCTAGAATCTTTGCAATAAAAGGCAGTTTTGAAATTGGTCTAAAATTATGTGGGAGGGAGGGATCTAAACCAGGTTTCTTTAAAAGTGGGTTCACGCAAGCCGTTTAAAATAATCAGGGACACAACCAGTAGATAGGGAGCTGTTGAAAACAGAGATCAAATGGGGCCCAACAGAATCTGTTACTTTCAGTAGAAACTTTGTAGGTATTACATCAAGTGGGCTGGAGGACACTCTCATTTGTGATACTGTTTTTAAAAGCTCAGACAAGTCGATGGGATAAAACTGGTTAAAACTCTCTTGTTGCTGGTGAGGAACCTCTGAGTAAGAGGCCACAGGGGTAATAGAGGCTCTGATTGACACCACCTTATTGGTAAAATAAGATAAAAACAATTCACAGTCATCATTACTTCCAGCTGAGGCACAAGGAGGGGTTGGGTTTACCAGCTGATCCACAGTCTGATTGTGTTTATGTGTAGTAATGAGTTCAGAAAAATAGTGTGTTCTCGCATCCTTAACCATGTTATTGTAGTTTATTAATAAATCCTTCAGACTGAGGTAATGGACTTGGAGACTGGATTTTTTCCATCTGCGCTCTGCTTTCCTGCATTCCCTTTTTAGGCTGCGAATGCTGTCATTTATCCAGGGTTGTTTACTAGCTTTAGACGTAGGCCTAACCTTTAGAGGAGCAGTAATATTTAGTGACGACAAGCAGATATGTTTGAAGTGATCGACCAGATTGTTGGTGTTGGAATCAGACAGGTGTTGGCTTTGGCTTTGAAAGAATGCGCAAAACTTTGAAACACTTTGTTCATTAAAGATGCGAGAACACACGGAGCTTGGTGAGGCGCCATGAGTAACAGGCGAATCGCAGCTAAAAACAACAGGAGTGTGTGAGCTGCCGAGTGTTGTGTTGGAGTAGCAGTAACAGACCTGAGAGAAGGGCTACCCGACGGTGCAGGGTAGAGACGGCCTCCGGAGCGTCTGAGCACAGCCTCCTTCAGGATCCTACGTCGGGAAGCGGAGGTTTTTGACCGGGATGACGGCCGCCGATCAGGTCCGGCGGCAGACCGGCGGCCCAGTGCAGGAGATGTAGCCGGTGGAGGAGATGCAACGGTGTCGGCAGGCACTGTGCGCCGAAAGAGATCCGTATCAGGGAGACTCAAAGCCGTAGGTGAATCCGCTGGATGGACCGGAGTGTCGTTAGACAAGGCTGCATAGCGGTTGGAGAGGCCGATGTGCGGAGGAGAGGCAGCCCCATCTGAGCCTCTCTTAAAGCCACGGACCACCACTTCAGCCCAGGTTGACTGATGCTTGAAAGCCTCGGAAGGCCAGAGGGGTCACATAACACGGTGTCCTGGATGTTGGCGGGAGAAACATCCATAAAGCCAGTCAGCAGGGAATCTTTCTCTTTGAGTTCCTCTGAAAGTCGTCGGATGTCTTCCATAAGGTCTAAGGAATCTTCTTGTTCACTTTCTTAAGGAGTGTGCAGTCCTCATGGGGCAGAGTTATCTCGGATAGCATAGTCACCGGAGGTTTGTTGTGATCAGTAGCGTTGATGGCGTTTTTACGGTCATCTATCTTAAAATCCATGTCGGATGACTAAAATCCTTAACCCACGTAAAACTTAAGTTAAATAAAAAGGATATGAAAAAGAGTGGATTAAAACTGGACACGAGTTCGGTTTAAGACGGAGCTTCCGACAGGTGGCTACAGACGCCAACGCATGCGCAGAGTGCAGATTACGTCAGCAATTACTTCAGCGATCTTGTGACAAGATGATGCAAGGTGTATGTATATGGTTTGGCCTGACAGTCTCCATCACAAAAACCTTTATAACCATAAACACAGAGCTTCCTTTAGTTCTTGCTCCACATCTCATTGGAAATAAATGGTGGGACCCGAGTGATGCAGACAGAAAGCACCGCCAGCAGGGAAGCCAGAACAAACCACTGTGGTGCTGGGCTGCAGCACCACCCTCACCCCATGCTTTAGAGACAGGGGCGGCTTCTCTGAGGACCACTTCCCCTCCAACAAACACAGCTTACTGTCGACCAAAAACACCCAAAAACACACAGTAAACACAGTAGGAGGAAAAAGGGAAGTCTCACTCACAAACTCTCAGCCACACTCACCAACACCAGACTCCCAGCATGCACAGAGAGAGAGAGAGGTACAAAACACAGATGGCTAGAGAGATGCAGTGGTTGTGTAAAAGATTCCAGTATCCGTAGAGTCATCCGGACAAACAAGGACTGTAAGTACAAGGATGGAAGGATAATAGTAAAAGGGACAAGGCCTGAAGAAAACCTCCTGTGTTTCTGATGTTTATCTGGTCATTAAAGGGTCAAACCTCCAGAGCTCTGCTGCTGTTGTTAACCACATTCTCACAGAAACACTTCCTCTTCAGATCTCTGAACAAAAAGAGCTGCAAAGATAAAATGAGGAACCAGCAGATCTCAGAGCAGTAAAATATCATCTTATCTGTGTTCTTCAGCAGCTGCTACAGTATCACCATATTGCACCATGGACATCAGGAGTCAGATTCTGGTGGGAGAGGAGTTTGACTCTTCACCTGTCTGTTCATGTGTGCTGTCAAACATCACCATGGATCCTGTCTGTTTTCTAATAAACACTATCTGAAGAAAACAAGTTGCATCATTGCAAACATTTATTTTAACTAACAATCTTCTCACCTTCAACTTCCTCTTCTTCTTCTTTTCGCTTGGTGAAACACGTCATTGTCACAAATAGACGGGAATGAACAAAGTGTGAACTCTGACGGCTGCATCTCATGTTGCTGATCAAGAATT